AAATGCAGAATTCTGGGCACCATCTCCAGAGGCTCTAATTAAAAAAAAAAAAAAAAAGTTGCCATTGAGTCAATTTCGACCTATGGCAACCCCTGTGCTCCTTAGGGTTTTCAATGGCTGGTTTTTTGGAAGTAGATCGCCAGCCTTTCTTTCAAGGCATCTCTGGGTGGGTTCAAACTTCCAAAGTTTTCTGTTAGCAGCTGAGTGTGTTAACCATTTGCACTCCTCTAATTCAATACAACCCTCCAAATCTGCATTTTATCAAGCTCCCAGGTGATCCTGAAATGAGCAGCCTCACAGACAACAATCTAAGAAGCTACTCTAGAAGCTAACTTTGGAAAGAGACCCTGAACAGAGAAGTCCTAATCCTACGTTCAAACAGGAAGGGTCCAGAGGTCAGGCACCCAACACCACTGATCACATGTCCATCACCAGGGACAGAAGCCTCTTTAGGGGTTGACTGCAACCTTCTCTCCCTACAAAGGCAGCACCTGAGTGCCCTGCAGATACCCTCTCCTCCACCTCACCTTCCAGGCTGTGCTTCCCAGCTGCATAATGACAATTTAAGCTGTCAACAACCGTGCATCCCCACACCCCACTCTTCAGAACCAGCCCAGGTGTAGGGTTCTGATGAGCAGAACTTCAATGCCAGAAATATGATTCAATGAATACAGCTTTCAGGTGGGCAAAGTACATGGTTTGGAAGAAAAAAGGCAGGTGTGAGGTCAGTTGCTGGGTTTCAATCCCAGCAGTGTAATCTTGCAGAAATTACTTAACTTCTCTGATACGTGGGTTCCTGGTTAGTAAAATGGGGATATAATCATCTCTATTGCTCAAAATTGCTGGGAGGATTAAACGAGAAAATGAACATAAAGTGCCCAAAATACTGCCCAAAACACTCAACCAGTGTAGAGGCCTTTTCATCTAGGCACCACCAAGTAAAATGCCAGAGAAGTAAGCATTTCCAAAAAGAATATTAATATAGAGTATATTCTACAAGGCAGTGCCTGGGTTTGATGCACTTAGCACCACAACAAGAAAGCTCACTTCAGGAAGAAAAAGCTCTACGTTGTATGGGGAAGCAAACACCACCAACTGATTCTGGAAGCTGAGCATCAGCTGATCAAGGAAAAGATGAGCTCTGAATCCTGACTGGGAGGACTAAGCCTTTGGGACAGATGCATGGGGGACTCTAAGTCAACCTGGCAGGGGTAAGGGAACACGTCAGCTGATCAGATGCCAGGCAAGGAGACTCTCCTTCTGCAGAGAGACTTACCTCCTTACCTCTCCCCTCAAGGACCCAGGAGTGACTTCTCAGTGTTAGGTCTCCCAAGAAGCTGGTCACGGAGGGGTCTGTGCTTGTCTCTATTCCCATGCCTAAGGTGGTCTACAGGGCCCATTCAATGTGTTCACAAAGGCCCTCATCTCAGGGATCCCAGCTGGGCTCAGCAACCGTGCATTCTGTCTGGCGTGTCATAGAATCTCAAAGATCAGTTAGCCTTAAAGATTTTCCTAATCCAACTACTAAGTGCCTCAGCTGTACCTTCAGTGACAAGGAGGTCACTACCACCTGAGGCAGTCCTTTTAGAAAAATCTTTCTTCTACTAAACTGAAGCCTGTCTGCCTATAGCTTCCATCTCTGTGTCTTAATTCCTCCTTAGGGCCACAGAGAACACACTGGTAACACTTCAGAGCTTTATATCTCTCTGTCTCTCCTGAATCGTCTCTTCCCTAAGCTAAACAGCCCTAACTTCTTCAACCATTCTACACTGCAGCTGTGTTAGCTGCTGTTGTGTTTCCTTTTTATGCCCAGCATGTTGTCCCCTTAGAGAATTCCTCCCTCACTTCACAAGGGTCCCAACCTGCGAGCAAGTGAACCTGGGTTTACAGATGGCCACCTTCCCTGGCCATATATGGAGGCAGCCCTCATTCAGGAGAAAGAAGGCGGCCAGCACACAACAGAAAGTAGAGCAGTGACAACGTGGCCTGAGCCCCCAAGACATCTTGGCTACATGAACTAGTATATTCCCTTTTTGCCTTAGCAGGTTGATTTGAATTTTGATCACTTGCAAATAAAAGCATCCCGCACAACACAGTCCTCGGCCATGTTTCTGCAGGCCCTCAGCACCTCTCCTCTGATTCCAGCCCTCCCCTCATCTGGATTGCTGACGTGTGGACACCCATCTTGGAACCCTACACCACAACTGGATCTGAGCGGGGCAGAGCAGGCCCGTGGACTCCCTGATCTGGGCACCCTGCCCCTCTGAGGGAGGCTAAGGTGGTGCCAGGCTTTCCGGCAGCCACGCCAGACCCATGACTCACACACAGTGCAAACCCCAGCATCTTTTTCCACGCGTGCCGCTGGTAAGCCAAGCCTCGTCCACTCTGTGGTACAGTTCATCTGGGGTCTGGTTCTCTGAGAAGAGCTGAGCCACTGAAGTAACAGCTATCAGACCAGGGAAATTTAGATATCAATACAGCTATTTTCCATGACAAACAGGGGCAGCTTCCAAGAAATCCAATCAGTAGTTAATGTTCTGAACCCACACAGCTTCTAGCTAGTAAAACACCCCAAGGATGCAACTTGCTCCTCTCAGTCACATCAAACACATTTCCTGGCATTATGACCCAAGCTCGCTCCATAAAAACTTCAGGTCTTAGGGTGCACAGTAGTAGAAGCAGAATTTTAGGAGTGGCCATGCGGCCAGGTGATTAAGAACACAGGCCTCAGGGTCAGAACTTCACCCATGCATGTACCCACCCACCAACAGGTACTTGTGTGGCCTCCGGAAATTTATTCACCTCTCTGAGCTTCAGTCAGTAAAAAGAGACTAATGCTGACTCTTACATGGTTACGAGGATGAGGGGAGGAGGGCTAATAATTTAAGTAAAACACAGTGACTAGTTTCCATCATACCCTCTATTGTTATTAAGCTTCTGTTGGGAGTCAGGAAACACAGGGAATCCCGGCTTGGCATTGCTATCCTGTACCTCAGCTTGTCCCTCTCTAAATCTCTTCTAGCTCAAATTCTGTGATCTTGAGATAAAACCAACCTGAGGTTTTATCTTGATTCCAGGACCAACTTTAAGCTTCAGCTATCACAGACAGACAGGAAACAGCAGACAGATACTTCCTACTCCTCCCATTCGGACAGTTTATTAAGTTCCTTGCATTTTGAACCAAGCACTCTGGGGAGCTTTCCCTGGTGCACATGTGCTGCTGGTGAGCCGAGCCTCTCCCACAGCTCCCAGGGACATGGTGGATGCTCTACAAATACTTCTGGGCAACTGATTGGTCCTGGGCCTAAGTGAGAAGAAAAGAGTGGGCAGCATGGTGACTGGCTGCCAGGGAGGCTAAGGACAGGTGTGTGCACAGGGTAGGTGGAGGCTAGGGGGCTGGTGGACTTCTCTCATGTCACATGGAGGTGATGGGAAGGTCCCTGCCCTGTCCCACCAAGATGTAGAGGAAAAGCTGGGCTGCTACATTTAGCCCACATGGCCACATTTGTCTGAGCAGTTAGAATCATCAGATATTATACTACTGTACTTAAAATATTCACTTAAGCTCCGTGCGATCTAACTGCCAAGTAAGCTAGAAAATGTCCTGGTTTTGAGAGAACTCTCCTTGTTTTCCTCATGTCCTAATGCCAAGACTGACTTTTGCTCACAGCATCATCCTTCCTAAAGCTTAGGATAGAACCAGCACCTGGACCAGGTGCCCTCACCTCCACCCCTCTAGCCTAAACACACCACCCCCACCCTGTCTCTTCTTAGCTCCCAATGCCTCCTGCCCTTTTATCTTAACCAACCCCAGTCCTCCGGCTCTTCAAAGCCCCACACATATACCACTCGTTCCAGAAGCCTTCTCAGTATTCTAGCCCACAGTGTTCTTCCTTATCTCAGCTCTAAGAACCGGGCCAAACAGATCTTTGTACGTTAATTGTACGTAAGTCTGTGTTGCTTCCCCAACCCAGACTGTTTGGAAGTTTTTCAAGGCCAAGAGTCTCAATTTTTCTCTTATATCTCCCTTAGGCTTCTGCTGAGCTGGGTACACAGCAAGTGCTCGGCAGATGAATAAATTAACTGGCTGATTTCTACTTAAAGGCCCTGATATTGCCTCAGCATGGGGAGGCCCCCCATTTGCTGCATTAGGGCCTGATGTTCACACCCTCACTTGTGCAAGGCAGAATGAAGGTACCCTTATCTCAAGCTAGGTGCACTCTGGGAACGGAAGGGCGTACCCCTGTGGGAGTCACCTGGGTGTTCCACAGGCCTCTCTCCCATATTCTCACCCCCACGGTTAATTAAAGGTCACATTCCTTGAGTCTATTTCATGGCTCAGGCATAAGAAGTGCTCTTCACAGTGGGAGCTTTCAGGGAGCTTTGGGAACGGAACAATAGCAGCTCTCTTTCAGGCAGAATGCCTCTCACTTCTACAGGAGCTTTCTCGGGCTCTCTCTGTGCTGGGAAGCCTGATTTAGAGCCTGAAGCTTTATCACCTTCTGGAGCCCAATGTTTCTCTCCTAAGTGGAGATAGGAGACTACTGGTGAGCCATAAAGCCACGTAATTCCATGTGGAGCTTCCTCCACCAGCAACAAAACCAAACAATCCACCAAACTACTTGTGGCTGAAAACACACATCAGTGGCACTCTATGAACCACACACACGCCCCTGCCCCCACTGGAGGCTCTGAAGATGGGAATGATTATTACTGGGAGGTACCTTTTGGTTCTGACCAAGAAGAGGAAGAGATCAAGGTTTTGTGCCCCCATTCTTTAGCTAGAGACCAAAACAGCAGAATTCACAAGAAAGTGAGGACAGCCCATAGTTTAAGGCTGTGAGAAATGAAACTTTTCTGATTCACACAGGGGACATCTTCATTTGGGATCCAGATTTGATAAGACCTGCATGGCCTTTGGCTTAGGGCTTGGCTCCAAGGAGGCCGACATCTCAGAAAGGTGAGTGTCCAAGGAAGGCAAGACCCTTTATGTCACTCACCTTTAGGTCCAGATACTCCAGGTCTTTTTTCAGCTGGAGGTAGGTATCATCAGCCTTTAAATGAAGCAGAGAGGAAAAAAAAAACCAGTTATGAACACCGAGGGCTTCCATAACTCAGGACTTCGTGTGTGAATCATTTACACTGTGCAGACTGAAAGACAAGGGACCCCAGCAGACCAGCACATCCAGGACCACAGAGGAAGCACAAACATCTCACTGCAGCTCAGGGACCTCTTTCAGCATGGCAGATCTGCGGGTCAGTGCGGGGAGGGCCAGCTTATCCCCCACTGGCTGGGAGGAGAGTTTGATGGGGGTGGGTGGTGACAGCACACACCCCACCAGAAAGCTAGAACAGCAGTGCAGCTGAGGTGGGTGGTGAGCTCCTGAGACAGAACTAGGGAGGTCTACCTGGAAGAAGACACGTTTACATCTGAGTTAGGGTCCATCAATCACCAATGTTCCAATTCTTTCATTTGGAATGGGTCACTTCAAATGCATGAAGCAAGATGACCTACCGACTAGTGTAGGTGGGTGCCTAGAAGAGGCAGGGTGATGATCTGGGTGACCCAGGAAGTCCCAGTATAAACTGGGTTCCAGAACAATAAGCACCAACAGTCGCTGAAGTTCCCTGTAAAAGTCTTGGCTCTTTTTTGTTCAGCATGGTGCCAACGTAGCCATGCCAGGAGCTAGATGAGAGAGTGCCAGTGTCAGGCCTATCTGCTTGTGGAATCTCTGACAGTCTGTTGAGTTCTTCAGAATAATTACTGGAAAGAGTAAAAATAAGACTCTTTATTTTCTAGAACTTGTGCTCTCCTGTGCAGTGGATCACAGAAGCAGAGGGGCTATGAAAGCTTAAGAAAAACAGTCCAGGCACCACTTTCTTGACAGACTAAGGGGGCCTCCCAGCAAGCCAAAATGGGCAAGGTGGTCCCTGTTTACTGCTCTAATGTGAAACAATTGCACAAATAATGATGTGAGATGCTCAAGCAGTGCTTTTAATCCTGGGAGGGCCTGAAGGACCATTGTCAGTGACACTAGTGGCTTGCAAGATCTTATCTCTGTCCACTAAACTGTCCCCTTACCCATCTCTACTTCCTCATCAGCTTGGTCCCTATACACTTTCCAAAAGAGTAAGAACACAGCAGAGGCATGTTACTAAAAATCACCCAAAATCAAAATTTATGGGTTTTGCACATGTTCCCTTCCATTCAGTTTTTTTTTTTTTAAATGCATTTCTTGATTCCCAAAAATCTTACCAAAACAAAACAGGTAAGGAAGGTGATGGTCCCCTCCCCTCCTCAGCTGTCCCCTGCCTAGCTCTGTGGAGCATGGAGGGACCAGCTCATGTGGCTGAACCCATTCCTGCCTGAGGACAACCCTAGGAGTGTCTTTAAGCTGCTCGAGAAGCCTGGGAGGGTGGTTCCCAGGCCAGTTCTCCAGGAGCTTGCCTGCAGAGCCTCAGTGTCCCGGGAACGTTTAGAACACTGTGCCTGATAGGACCTGGGCTTTGGCTCCAGTCTGCATGGTACTAGCTGAGGGACCCTGGGCAAGTCATTTCTCCTTCTGGATCCACTGTCTCATGGGTGGCAATAACCCCTGTCCTGCCCAACCTCTCCCAGGTTGTTGTGAGGCTCAACGGGATAAGAGATGTAAAAATGTTTTGTGAATCAGCAGGGCACTGTCCAGATAGGAGAGGGCACTATGCATTCTCCCTCCGGACTGACCCACACCCTTCAGCAGCCCAAGGAGTGCCCAAAGTGGCAACAAGGACAACAGCCAGCATAGCCCTTTGGGTGTGACCACACCCCAGCCTGTCAGTGACTACTTACAGCCAGAGAAGCCACAGTTCACGTCCCTCATACCACATGCAGCCACCCTCCCCATCACCAGAGGTGTGGGCTCCATCACCACCAGACCGTGTCTGGCAGCTGCATCCAAAAGCAAACAGGCAGGGACGAGCGAGAGAGCCAGACAGCAAATACAGACTAGAGCGTGGGCACAAGGGAGCACAGTCCAGCACGTCACTCCTGCCCCCAAGTGGCCCGGTACAGAGAGAGCCCACCAGCGCTGACCTGGGAGGTGGGAAAAGTCAGCTGGTGCTGCAGTAACTGGCCCACGGCAAAATCTCGCACACTGGCCAGCTTGGCCTGGTGCCGCCGTAAACGGGTGAGAAGCAGCGAAAGCTCCTCCAGCTGTAGGTGGGTAGACACATCATGAGGCAATTAGCCACCGCAGGAGCACGACGTTATAATTACTCTTCACCCCGTGCCGGGACAGCACTGATGTGACGCCATTAAGCAATTATTGCATTAATTTGTCATTAGGGCAAATAAAGGTGCTGGCAGAAAAGAGGCTGCAGGAAGTAGTTTTTTTCAGGAGCGTAGCAACCAACAGTGCAGCCTCACCCAGACTCCAGCTTTGAAGACAGCGTTAACTAGTCAAAGTTAGGAGCCGGAGAGAAAGAGGAGCTAAAGGGAGAAAGGCAGGTAGCTGGAAAAAGCTTCAGGCAAAACCTACCCCAAAGTGAAGACAAGCCCAATATTCCCCTCCTCACCCCCTCAAGCTTTTTGCCTCATCTAGACAGAACCCACTGCTACCTGACGACCCTGAGCAAGTCACTGGACTCTTCTGAGCCTTGATTTCGTTATCTCTAAAATGGGGTGAATAGCTGCCCTACAGACTGCATTTGGCAGGCCCAATGGAAAAACCCCGATGAGATAGTGCTTTGTAGACTGCACGGTATCATTCACTTGGAAAGGGAGATGAGGAGCTGCTTACCGATTTTCCATGTAAACTGGGAGCACTGACCGTGTGGGTCATGTAACCCATGGAGGGCATGGAGCGTCGGTCCACATGGGAGGAGTTCTGCAGGTGGGGAGCAAGAAGTCACACTGAGGTCGGGGCCTCTACCCCTCACTACACCAAGGCAGACTACCACGTGGCACTTTACCTTTCTGAGCCTCAGGCTCATCATCTGTAAAATGGGGATGCATACTAAACTCATGGGGTTAGTATGATAAATTGTGAAACAATGATAACTGTGAAAGCACTTTGGAGAGTTAAAACTTATCAGTAATTGAGCTGAGCTAACACATCTTTTCCTGCCTTTCAAGCTGCAAAGAAGCAGAGTTCTAGTTGTGTGACCCTATCTATGGAGGTTACTTCACCTCTCAATACCTTAGAGTTCTCATCTGTGAAACAGGCACAATAGTATCTACTTCATAGGGCTGTTGTAAGAATTAGAGTTAAGCAAAACAAAGTCTTCAGAACTGTGCCTGGCACAAAAAAGTACTGCCTAAGTGTAAGCTGCCATTATTATCCCAAATTGTTCAAACTTGTGCTCAAACCACAAGGGGCTCTGGCACCCTAATGCTGGGCCCTAGCAGCCTCTTGACCTGAGCCTCACCTTGATGGCGTGGCCCCGCGCCTTCCTGGGAGAACCCCCCAGTGAGATGTCCACGCTCCTCCTCTGGTCAGGTGGCTTCACAGTAACCCTCTCAGCTGGCGTGTGTGGCCGCCGGGGTGGGAAGGCTTTTGGGGGCCCCGGAGGAGGGATGTCAGAGGGAGACGGAGGCACAGAGATGGAACGGGGCACCTCTAGCATGCTCCTGCTCCGGCCCTGGTCAGTGAACTCCGGGGAGCCTGCACAGATGGGCGCCGTGGGGCTCCCATGACGGAACTGCTGGCGCTGCTGCCACTCATAGAGCTGCCACACGGTGCCGTCCCGGTGTGCCCGGCGCTCCTCACTTGACATCTTCAGATGGCTGGCTCGGTCCTGTGCGTACTTGTAGTCACTCGGCAGGTTGCGGGTTGGGGGTGGGGAACTCCCCGAGGGGTGTCGGGTGTTCTTGGGAAGAGTCTGGTAGTTTTCTGGGAAGGATGGGGGCTGGCTAGGACCCTGGCGAGGAAGTGTCTGGTCCAAGGGAAGGCTGAGGAGAAAGAGGAAGGACAGGTAAGACAACCAAGCAAGTGGTCTGCCAGGCTTTTGGGAACAAAGGCGGGCATGCGAGGGAGTCCTGTAAGAACCTCAAAAGAACTATCAAAGCAGACCTCCAGGACTTCAGTCACTTCCCTTCTTTGCAGAGGACTTCAAAACCATTTTTCTCTACCAACCACCCTACCACGCTGACTTGGGTACTCCCTCACCTCCATCACTTCAAGTGCAATGTAATTAAACCTGCCTTCTCCTTCTCTCCCTCTTGCCATCAGTCAGCTTTTCCAATGGATGTGCGTATTTCTAGGAAATGCCTCATGATTCTGCGGGTTACCAAGATTTTTTCTCTCTGGCTTTATCCTAGCACTAAAGTTCTGGAAGTTCTTAAAGGAAGTGGCTGGCATCATTCTTCTCTTTTTCTATTACTAGTCCACACATTCATTACTTACCTGAACCAAGGCAACCGTGAGACCCTCCTAACTAGTTTCCACCCTGCACGAAGTTAACTGATGATTCAATCACTCCCTTGCTCCAAAAACGGGGATAATAAGAACCACTTAATAGATTGTTGTGCGGATTATAAATAATTGTCACTCAAAAACAACGGCCTATTTTTCCTTTTTAGCATTATCATTGTAATCACAGGAGGTAATTTTAAGATCTCTTCAACACAGACAACTGGTCTCGTTGGTCAAGCCTGTCTGCATGCCACTAGGTGGCAAGGTTTGCTGTTGACATCCCAAAATTAGAGGTGAACGTGTCTCTGAGAAATCCTGAATCTTCAAACAAGGGGAATGGTGGTGGCAGCAGCAGAAACCAGGTTTGGAGCTTCCCCTGGGAAGTTTGCTAACCATTGTTCACTCCGCCAGGAGCAAAATGCGAACTATGCAAAGGTGTCCTAGTTGTGCTTCCACCCATCCACATCCCTCTGGTCTGGCTCTGCAGCCCACCCTCCGTGTCTGGATGGTGGAAGTCCCCCACCGGGCAGTGCCCTACTGCCCTGAGCTCATCCTCTGCTCATGCACTATCTGCCATCCCCCCAGCACTGGCCATTTGGGGATGAACCCAAAGATACCAGCACGATGGTGAACCCTGACTCCCGAAGCCAAACCTGGGTAACTAACCGATGGTAGAGGGAGGAACATAGGAGGCAGGGTCCTAAGATGAAGTGAGGACCCCACAGGAGCAGGCAGGAGCTCCCAGAGCAGTCTAAACTTGAGGGCAGATCCATTTGCTGGCCCCGACACCAGCCTTACCCAAAAAAGGGGCTCAAGGTCTCCTGACCTCACCCCTGCTCTGTGGCTGTGTGGTCTCCCCATCCCAGAAAGCACTAAACAGGGTATTCTGCCACAGCCACTACAAAATGGTCACATCGAAATGTAAAATCATTTTTTATAACCAATTATTTACGCAGAGGATATTTCTGACCCTAACTCCTTCCCTAACCCTCATACCAATTGTACAGGACTTTCACATTCTACTCTGTTCCTTACTGTAGTGTTTGAGTCCTCCTGCCCCCCTTTTTTTATTTTACCAAGTATGCATTACTTTAAACACCAGAAAAATTGGAAGGCTAGAATTTCAAAACCATTTTTTAGAACGTGATAAGATTCTAAGGTGTGTCAATTTGTCCCTCAAAAACCATCATTCTTAAGGAGTTTAGTGATGTGAAATATAATATATATCTCCAAGTACTGAAAGAACAATTAGAAATAACTCCCTGTGTGGTCTAGAGCTGAGAATACAGGATCATAAAACCAAAAAACCAAACTCATTGCTGTCAAGCTGATTCCAACTCATAGCGACTCCATAGGACAGAGTAGAACTGCCCCATAGGGTTTCCAAGGAGCAATTGGTGAATTTGAACTGCCGACCTTTTGGTTAGCAGCCAAGCTGTTAACCACTGTGCCACCAGGGCTCCATACAGGATCATACTGCAGTCCAAATAACCCTCCTCCCAATGCCTGCATGCTCAATCTAATGAGATTAAAAAAAAAAAAAAAAACTCGTGGCCACTGAGTCGATTCCAACTCATAACGACCCTATAAGACAGAGTAGAACTGCCCCATAGGGTTTCCAAAGAGCAGCTGGTGGATTCAAACAGTCAACCTTTTGGTTAGCAGCTGAACTCTTAACCACTGTACCACCAGGGCTCCCTAATGATATTAGCACAGTCTTAATCACACACAAAGTAGAAATACATACTTCTATATTTTCAAATGAAGGAGGTTTCTTTATTAAGCAGCCAGATCTATTTATTACTTGGCTGTAAGACATTATACACATATCTTTAAGGAAAAAAAAAAATCTGGGAATATGAGATGCAGATCTTACGATACAAGTGGATTATCAGACTGAGCAGACACTCCGCTCACTCGGAGACTGACAGCACTCTTCTCAAAAGGGTAATCTATACTCTGCCTTCAATTTCTCATTTTCACTTCTTTTTAGCCCATTGAGATCTGCTTCCACCACTGGACTGAAATTCCTCCTATCATGTTCACTGAACTCTAATGCCAATGAACTGTTTTCAGCTACAGTTCTGATGTCACCCTGCCCCTTAGTTAAGAAAGCTCCACGCCTATCTCACAACCTACAGAAAGTCCAGCACCCTCCCCAGTCTACCTCTCATCTCCTTGCTCAAAGTTATAAGTTGCCTTCTCATCCTTTAGCTCCCTGATGCACCCCACACCCCCCAGATACAGGCTGCTGTGTGTAGAACTTTGAACATAGATTTGTGGGCTGACAGAAATAGTTATGTAGAGATATTTCACAACCAACAATTTATAAATGTGTATCACTCGCAATTATATAGTTTTTAAAAGACCTTTCTGTATCCCTGCCACAAAGCGTTTCTCACTGGCCATGGCATTTTACTGGTTTCTTCCTGCCCTCACCTCCTATTACTCTGCCTCCTGACGTAACTCCTAAATTCTAGCTCTATTACGTAGGGTAATTCAGGTCTACCCATCTAAATCCATCAAGAAGCTCAGGTGACAGGGAACACAACAGAGAGTCCCTGATGGAGCAGGAGAAAGGCGGGGTGCAGAACTCAAATTCTAGTAAGAAGACCAGGCTTAATGGTCTGACTGAGACTGGAGGAACCTTGAAAGCATGGCTCCCAAATTCTCTTAACAGCCCAGAACGAAAACAATTTCCTAGGCCAGCTCTTCAGACTGAGATTGGACTGGACAGTGGGACATAAAGTGATACTCGTGAGGAGTGTGCCTCTTAGCTCAAGTAGATACAAGAGACTAAATGGGCAGCTTCTGTCCTGAGGTGAGATGGGAAGGCAGAGAGGGTTAGGAGCTGGTTGAGTGGACATGGGGAATCAGGGGTGGAAAGGAGGAGTGTGCTGTCACAGTAAGGGGAGAGCAATTAGGGTCACATAACAATGTATGTATACATTTTTGTATGGGAGACTAACTTGAAATGTAAACTTCATTTAAACTACAACAATAAAAAATTTAAAACAACATTTAAAAAAAAAAAGAAGCTCAGGTAAACAAACTAGTTGGTGTTGAGTTCACTATGACTCATAGCAACCCCATGTGTGTCAGAGCAGAACTGTGCTCCATAGAGTTTCAGGGGCTGATTTTTCAGAAGCAGATCTCCAAGTCTTTCTTCCAAGGTGCCTCTGGGTGGACTCAAACCTACAAGCTTTTGGTTAGTGGCTGAGGGCGTCAACTGTTTGCACCACTCAGGGGCTCCAGTGGAACAAATAGCTTCTGCTACTCATCTCAGGACAGCAGAGACCCTCAGGTTTCAGACTTCCTGCAGTGATACCCAGCCTCCTTGGAAGGCAACCTGCCCGGGTAGAAGTCATTATTTGCAGCACCTTGCACTGCTAACTAATATCCTTCCAAATGAGACTGTCCCCTCAGAACACTCCAGCCTTGCTGCTACTTCTCCTGCTCAGTCTCCTTCATGGAGACTTTGCTTTTGCCTAACCCTTGGGCTAGCAGTTCCCAGAGTTCTTGGCTCTCTGCTATCGTTCACTCTAAGCTGAAGATTCTCAACCCTGGCTGCACAATAGAATCACTGGGTCGTGTGTGTGTGTGGCGGGGGAGTGCTTTTTAAAAACCTGATGTCCAGGCTCCCGGCCAGACCAATAGAATCAGAATTTCTGGGTGTGGGACCCAGGCCTCAGTAAATGTTAAACCTTTCCAGGTGATTCTAATGTGCACTCAAGCAACCAGTTTCTCCAGTATGGCTGTACTCTGGGATCACCTGGGGAACTGTTAAAACATACTGATGCCTTCACCTATCACAGCCTAATGAAATCAATTCTCTAGGGTAGGGCCTGGACCTCTTACTATTTTCTTAAGCGTCCCAAATGATCAATTGTGCAGCCAGGCCAGGGTAAGGACCACTGCTCTAAGTATTCTACCCTGGGTAATCTCAACTACTGCCAGGGCGTCAGTTACCATCTCTAGGGTAATGACCTGAACCCACGTTCCTATGACCTCCAGGTCATCTCCACCTGGACATCCCACAGGCACCACACCCTCTCCAAGCTTACTTCTCTCTCCTATGCTTGCATCTTGTGCATGGCATCACTTCTACCTTATTAACCAAGCCAAACCTGAATGTTAATCTCAACACCACCTGTGCCCTCCCCACCTTCCACTCCCAGATAAGTCAATTTACCAAGTCCTATAATCTACCCAACTTTAATGTCTACTTATCCTATCTGTTCCCTCCTCACAATTCTCACCATCTTCACTGCTTTCAGTTAGGCCTTCCTCACCTCCTACCCACACTATGATCACATTATACTTAATCATTTTCTCTTTTCAAGTCTCTTCTCCACCTAAACCATCTTGCATAGTGTTAACCTAAAACAGTAGTTCTAAGAGCTGATACAAAAAAAAAACAAAAAACCCACTGCCGTTCGGTTGATTCCAACTCATAGCGACCCCATAGAACAAAGTAGAACTGCCCCGTAGGGTTTCCAAGGAGCAGCTGGGGAATTTGAACATTGACCTCTTAGTTAGCAGCTGTAGCTCTTAAGCACTGAGCCACCAGGGATCCTAAGTGCTGATATGGGGAAGAAAACAGAGACACTCATACACTTTTGGTAGAGTATAAACTGAAACAGCATCTTTGGAGGGCAGTTTGTAATCTCTCTCATAATTAAAACTGCATATACTCTTTGACTCAGTCATTTCACTTCAAGCAATTTGTCCTTCACATATACTTGCACTTGCATGCAAAGATACTTGTGCAAGGATGTTCATTATAGTTTGTAATAGGAAATATTTGTAAGCAACTTAATTGTCCATCAATAAGGGAATGATATATGTATACAATGTACTCTGCAGCATTCAAAATTACTGACATATCTGTGTGCTGATATGAAAAAATAGCTAAGATGTGCATACATGTACACATGCACACACATACATTAAGCTATATTAAGTGAAAAAAGCAAAGGAAAAGAACAGGATTCTTTCCTTCCTTCCTTCCTTTTTAAACACAATGGTTGATCTTTAGGACTAATTAGGAGTGGAACTAGGATTGTGAGATAAGATTGGAGGACACTTATTTTTCAGTATTTACCCTTTGATATTGTTTGGATTTTTTACCTTTGAGTGTATTGTTGATATTATTTGAAGGTACTGAGCTAAGGAAGTTTTACACATCCAGCTATGAATTTGGTGATAAGTTAGTGATTAGCAAAAAGAAAACTAAGCTAACTAAAGCATGACAATTATCAACACTAGAGAAAACAAAAAATGAGCAACAAATAAAATTTAATTCTAGTACACTACATGGCTCAGCTGTGAATATTTGTACCATCCTAATAATGTAAATACCAACTAGTGATCTAACCAAAAATTATGCTGGGTAAACTAAGTGTATGTCTGTTAGAAAGGGAAGGGTAGAGAAGGGGAATAAGAGACTTAAATCCTTATCTTCTAGTGTAGAATGTCAATAGATAACTAAAGCTGAAAAATGAAGAAACAGCAGGATGCGTTATCTTATTTGTAAATATAGAGGCAAACAGGGAAAACTTCTAAAAGAATTCAAAGTGATTGCCTCAAAGGTGCAGGAATCAGGATGGGTAGGGTTTGGACTATTTAAGTTCCTAAGCTATGTACAAACCAAAAGAAAAAAAAGGTGTTGTTGAGTTGATTGCGACTTGTAGTGAGTGACCCTACAGGATAGGGCAGAACTGCCCTAAAGGGTTTCCAAGGAGTGCCTGGTGGATTCAAAAAGCTATGTACAGCTATTACTTTAATAAAAATCTAAAGAACCAACAGGAAAACTAAAACTATCTCTCATTTTGGATGGGGTGCAGTGGAGTCACCTGGGAAATTTCTTCAAACATACATGGACTTAGAACTGGGGTGTGACAAGAGCTGTCTAGTCTGAGAAATCTTAGGCAGATAATGGACAATGTCACATGGGTTTTCACTACATCAAAGATGTGGTGAAAAACAGGTGAAATTGCACACAACAGATTAGTTAGAAAGCACAAATAAGCCCATGAGTACCTTGCTTGTTGGGTAATCTGCCCCTGTGATGGTGGCAGACTTGGTCTGTGCTCAGACACATCCACTGTGGCCACTCCAGCCCCTAGGGAGCTTTCTGACTGCACAATGGCTTTGCTATCTCATCTCCCACTTGTGATTTAGTGGCCTCTGGGGATAACTAGGAAGCTGGGTGACTGTGAATTCTGCATGTCCATAAACATGTCCTAATTAATCTAAAATTATAATAAAATACAGACAGTGCTTTGCAAATAGCAAGAGATGCATGCCTTCTAAATAATTAAAAACCGCTTCCTGAAGGAATGGATATGATAAAGCCTAATGTCAACAGTGCCTACGCACTTTCTTCTTTATGTGCCTGGAATTAAAAATGGAACTATATTTACTCTGGTTTCTACTAATATTTCCAGCATGCAGAGAATCAGCAGCCTAAGAGGAGAAGATCTACACACTGAACGGCTCAAGGCACCCTCTCAGGGAACAGAGAAGCCTCCAGAGATGTAACCTCCTGTGGGTTTTGAAGACTGACCGACCTGGGTTTGAACCCTGGCTCTGCCACTTATCTATGTGCCCTGGGGAAGTTCCTTCACTTCCCTGATACCCAGTTTGTCTATAAACTGGAGATATCACCTCTTCCTTGCAGAGCTGCTATGGGATTTACGGAGATAATGGAGGTAAGAGTTTAAGGCCACATTCAGCAAGTGCTAGGTAAATGATAACTACTGTTATTACATTATTATGCTCATTATTAGCAGCGATACTAAGTGTATTACTGACCTCCTGCTGTCTCCCTTCTGGGCCTTAGCCCAGTGCTCCACCTGGGCCAGGCTGCTCTTCTTCTGGCTGCGCTTTTCAGGGTTGGTCCTGGGAGGAAAGGCCCGCTGGTACCCGCTAGTCCCATTCTGCTCTCCTGGACCATATGAGGCTGGCAGCATGCCATTCTTCTCTGCATGCTGGGGCTGTGCCTGCTGGCCTCTCGAGCCACCGGGTAAATCCACAAACAAGGCATCCTCCTCAGCCGGCGAGTATGGGGACCTGGCCTTGCTCCTGTCCTGCTTGTCCTCCAGTGGGTCCCTCTGGGAATGGTACCGTTCTTCTTCCTGCTCCCGTCTCTCAAAGCCAAAGGAGTCATCATGACCACGATGAGGACAATCCCTTGTGTGTCCAGGTCCCACACGGCCACACTCGCGACAGGACGCTGTGTGGTTGGCCTGGGGGACTGCCTGCCGCTCCACCTTCTCCATGTCCCTGCAACGACAGCAGCACATTCAGCCCGCTCCAGATAGCATGACTGTGTCTCCCACTGTAAGGTGCCTTTCTCCCTGCCACCCTAGGGCAGAGTCCTAGTTCTGCATGTATCCCAATCACCTGGTACCAGGGACACAGCAGGGGCTCCATAAGTTTTGCAGAATTTAGATTGGGGAGGCAGGGAAACATACTCCAGCCCAGCCCAGATGGACCAGAAAAATTACCAGGTACCCTTGGATGGGCAGCCAGTCTGCTTGTACTCCTTGGTAAAAAGATCCTGGCCTTGAGAGCCATCATTCTAGGAAATGGCCAAGCCCGAGGGCTCTCCATTTCAAGAGTATAAGATGCAAATACTGCTTCGTTTATATGTAAATTACCAGACCCCAGGTGTCCATGCAACAATCTCAGAATCTCAGCTACCAATAATCAACACAGGCTCAGACCAGAATCAATTTAGCATGGAGTCTAGTTAGAATGTCAGCATAAAGTGAAAATACAATCCCCAGCACAGGGTCTGCTTTTATAGTGTGTAGGCCCAAATGTTGGCCTTAACCTAGGCGTGGAGAACTGAGAAAAGCAATTACATATCTCACTGTCTATGTACTAATACTTTTTTCCATGAAAACCCAAAGTTTCGTGAAAAATAGTGCCTCTTTGGACCTCCTTTTTTTCCATCACTAGGGAACATCTTTTTTCTCTCTTATCTTGTATCTATTCCCCTTCTTTTGATAACAGCATTTCAATTTTCATTTGGGGCCACCCTTCCCCAACTCTTTTTCTTTCTTAATCTACGTGTTTTGGGTGCTTCTGACTCTACTCCTCCTGGTTAAACCGAGGCTCCAAAGTCTCAGTGATTGGTTTAGGGGCTCACACATGACCCAAGCCAGGCCAATCAGAGTTAGCCCTGAGACTTTGTGAAGCCAACATGAAGAAAGCAGAGCTAAGAAATGAAAAAAAAAAAAAAAGACTACTAAAGACTTGGTCTGAGCTCCTAGATCTAGCCATGTCTAAACCAGATATAGTCCCTTTCTCACTTAAGTCAGTTTTGAGTTTGGTTTCTGTTACTTGTATTGGAAGAGGTCCTGACTATCATATCATTTTATAATGACAACAATGGATGGTGATCTCTGACGGCCCTTCCATCACTAAGGTTCAGTGAGTCTATAAGCTTCAGCAGTAGGAACATATGGGAGACATTCAGGGGACGACATTTTAAGAAAAAACAATCCTTACGTAAGCTTATAAAGGGACAACTCTGCTGCACAATGTACGCAGCTTAGGTTTTAACTTTTTCCTTTAATCCTCTATAATTACATCACTGTAACCCCAACCAGTGGCCATCAAATTGCCTAAGCTGGCCACTATCTTCTTTACTATTTCTCAAATTCAGGAAACCACCCATGGGGGTTATGCTAAGGCTGTGGCCTAGATTAGAGATTTTGCTGCTCTCTGGCTCACACCACTTTATAACCTGGCACACTGCTTTGGGTTTCATTTGCTCTGACGTTTCCAAGCAGTTACTCCAATTGTGAAACCTAAGTAACTGTACCACCTTGTTATTCACACCCCAAAGATAAACAGCACCTTGTCATAAAAGCCAGTTAGTGAAACAAATATACCACCTACATGTATGACATTAGAATTAAAGGGGAAAGAGAGTCTTCAACTCTAGGACCCAAGGAACGCAAATACAATGTCTCAGTCCAACCAGCTGTAATGTAGATTTTTCTTTACTAATCAACCACCATTTATTTACTGAGCACCTATGTATTTTCCACTGAGACAGACAGAAGCAGAGAAAAGAGCCTCTGCCTTCAAAGTCAGGTGATCCTAGGGCCCAATTTAATCATGGTAGCCACATTTAATACTGTTCTCACAAAAAAACCAACCCCACATATTAGAGTTTGCTAGTCTTTTCTAACCTTGGAACTAATTTTACCACTATAAATTTTAGTCCTTACTGTGCATGTTCACATGAGTATGTTGTTGTTAGTTGCTGTCGAGTCGCTTCCAACTCATAGCAACCCCATGCAGAACAGAAGGAAATGTTGTCCAGTCCTGTGCCGTCTTTACAATTGTTGGTATGCTCGAGTCCATTGTTGCAGTCACTGTGCATTTTGAGTGCCTTCCAACGTAGGGGACTCATCTTCCAGGACTATATCAGAAAATATTCTACAGGGATCCACAGGGTTTTCACTGGCTAACTTTTGAAAGTAGATCACCAGGCCTTTCTTCCAGATCTGTTTAGTCTGGAAGCTCCGCTGAAATCTGTCCACCATGGGTGACCTTACTGGTATTTGAAATACTGGTGGCATAGCTTCCAGCATCATAGCAACAAGCAAGCCACCACAGTACGACAAACTGAAAGATGCATGGTAATATATGAGTATACACATTCCCACATATACCAGTACTTCTTGAAAATAAATTTGATATGAAATGATAAATCCTCTTCTTCATATCAACGCCAGCATTTACTGCAAAACAAATCTTTAGACTGTGGCTAAAAGAATGGTAGTCTGCTTGCCACCTGGCATTTTTCTAGCCCCTAAGACTTCGGGATTATGAACAGCTCCTTATTCCCTTGGCTGCTGGGATTTACATAAAATGCCTTTGTGCCCAAAATGTGCAGACTGTGGCTGCACATAAGAAAGGTGAAGATAATGTTCCCTACTTTCCAACCTGCCTGACTTAAACATTTAACTCACTAAGTTACAGGATTGAAGGCAAAAAGGTTTTTTTGGTTTCTCCCTGTCTCCTTGCATTCCCTACAGCTTAACCCATGACCTCTCAAATTAAGAGACTTGTCACAAAACAGATCTGCAAAGCTTGATTTAGCACAATGGTAGAAAAGAATGAAGCACCCCTCAGCTGTCAATGACTGCGTCACTCAGAGAAATTGGTCGTGCAGAGCACAGATGTTTATACGACAAGAAGAAGTTTCCAGATGGGCTGCTGTTCCTCTATGCATGTTGTTGCTGTCATCATGAGCACCTGGAATCGGTGACCGTTACAAAATATAGGGAATGTCTGGAGACCAATTTGGCCGTATTAATTAATTAATTTAATCCTTGTAACAATCTTATGAACTAAGAACATCTTAAGTTTAAAAAAGTGTACACATTTTTTGGTAAGATCACACATCTAGAAAGTAGAAGAGCTCAGATTTGAACCCAGGTCTGTCTGACTTCAGAGACTAAGCTCTGGGAAGTGATACTTAAGGCAAAAGAAATAGATGTAATAAAAAGTGAAATATAAATCATCTAGCCTGAAAATTGGCTAGATTACCCCATCCTAAGCAGTCACTGCTTCTTCCTCTGCCCATAGCCCTAAAGCCCTAAGCCCTCTGTCCTTCATCTGCCCATCCCTACCTCACTCTCAGTCCCTATAGACTAGGTACAGATCTACCTCTGATTCCCAGCGTAAATCATGTTTCCCAGGCCTGTGTCAATCACCATACTGCATCTTCTGGCCACAGTAAATGGTTTAAGGTATAAATGCGATCTAAGTCTGCCGAATCAGAATGAATCTTAGAGCTTCTGGAAAAAACTCTGGCTCTTTCCTGCTGGATTTTAACCCAGATGACATATGAGTCTGGGGCTACTGCAGCTATCTTGCCACCAGATCCTGCAGCTGCCGGGGACCTCCTCATGGAGCTCAAGAATGAATCCAACCCAGTTGTAGGCAGACCTCAGAGCCTGAGAAAAATGACTTGTGAGGACATTGGTTGAGTCTTGAATCCAACTGTTTCTAAAGCCAAATCTATCCTGAACTTTTCAGTGACATAAACCAACAAATTCCCTTTTTTCTTAAGAAAATTTGGCTGAGTTTTTTGTCATTTGTAATCAAGAGTCCTACCATACCACCATTCATAAAGAAAACACCTTTTTATATGGATAAGGATAGAAGCATCTGAGTGAGACCCAAAGAGGGAGAGAAAGAAATGCTGCTATTGGGGCCACGCACTTACAGAAGTGGAAGTTTTCCAGCACAGTTCACCAAATAGGAGGAGAGGCAAGATTTATGCCTGCCTGATGAATAATTCTAACTAACCAAACATCTGAACATCTTATTCTGATAAAATAAAACATTTAATAAGTCTGGATTTGCTTTGCTGGTCATTTCATCTCTCAGAATCTCAAGAGGAAGTGCTACTGTGTCTTTATTCTGACTCAGAGGGTAGAACTAGCTGGCTGAAAAAAAAAAAAGACAGGAAGGAAGCTTGGGCAAACATGATCAAGAGCATTTAAGAGTTTATTAAGAGCGTAAGAAGAATAAATTTGCAAAAAGTTCAGAGAAAAGTTTGGGATAATACAATGGCCTGAGCCCAACAGAGAAAGGAACGAGCCATTCAAATACCAAAATTTGGTAGTGAATCACAAATTCTCCAGGTAGAAAAAAGTAGAAAGCATCTGTCATGGTTTGAATTATGTCCCCTCAAAAATGTGTGTCAATTTGGCTGGGCCATAATTCCCAGAATTGTTTGGTTGGCCTCCATTTTGTGATTGTAATTTTATGTTAAAGAGGATTAGGATGGGATTGTAACACCACCCTTACCCAGGTCACATCTCTGATCCAATGTAAAGGAAGATTTCCTAGGGTGTGGCCTGCACCACCTTTTACCTTACACGAGATAAAAGGAAAGGGAAGCAAGCAGAGAGTTGGGGACCTCATACCATCAAGAAAGCAGTGCCAAGAGCAGAGCACGTCCTTTGGACAGGGGTCCCTGTGCCGAGAAGCTCCTAGTCTAGGGGAACACTGATGAGAAGGCCGACAGAGAGAGAAAGACTTCCCCTGGAGCTGACACCCTGAATTTGGACTTTTAGCCTACTTTGACTGTGAGGAAATAAACTTCTCTTTGTTAAAACCAGCCACTTGTGGTATTTCTGTTATAGCAGCACTAGATGACTAAGACAGCGGCCATATCTTGCCTAGCAAATTAACCCTCAGGGATTCAAGGCAGATGTCGCTAATTAATCATAAAACTTTTTTCCTGTTAAGCCCAGTCTCATCCTCAAATTATCCTCTAACCAGTACCCCAGTCAGTTACTATTAATTGAGCAAAGTGAGCACACAAGAAGAAATCCATTTGCCATTCCCAATCTAAAGAAACCAGTGTAACAACACAGGCAGTTCTTGGAGCTTGAATTATAAAAGGACATGTACAAGAAATGGAAAGTGGAGCACCAAATCAAGCACAAATATAGATGGGAATGGGCCCAGATCAATGAGTGCCAAAAAAAAAAAAAAGAAGTCTAGAATGAGATAAGATTTGTTTAGTTAAAACAACAAATATTCTATTTTTTCTAAGAATTAAAGGAGAGGGGGGCTTTAAAAAAAGTTTAAGACATAGGCATCTGTGCTTGGGGAAGGTGACAACATGAGCAGAAAAACCTATTGCCATTGAGTCTATTCTGACTCATAATGAGCCACCAGGGCTCCAAAATAAGCAGAGAAGCCCGAATTCTTGAATTTTGGGATTTATTTTCTGTATCTTCACCATGAAAAGGAAAATAAGTTTGGTTAAGTGAAACTGACAGTTCAAGATGGGGAAGAAGATGGGAAAAATCCCAGCCTCTTGTGACTGAGCTCCAGGACCAGCTATTAGTGCCTCAGGGCCCTAAAAAACTGGGACATGGGCTGAAGGAACCTCTTGGTGATCTCAGAGGAATCAAAAAGAATAGGAAAAAGAGCCAGAATACTAGAGACTGGCAATCAGTATCTTGATTCTGTTAACCACCGGGCTGGAGAGCCTACCATCAACCTCTGCAAGAGGCTAAGCTGCATTCTTAACCAGGCAGATTTCAGAGCACATAAGAAAGGAAGCATTCAGAAAAGGCAAATAACTCAGTAGAGAAATAGGCAGAGAAGAGGTACAGGCAATTCTTTGACGAGGAAATACAAGTGGTCAATAAGTATAAAAGATCTCGCCATCGTGGAAATATATATTTTAAAACAACCAGATACGATTTATTTACACAGCAGATTGGCAAAAATTAATTATTGATAATATTAACTATTGGCAAAGATGTGGGGAAATGAGTACTCTCCCTGGTGTATAACATGGCTTTCTTTAAAGGGCAATTTGGTGCTATTGATTAAAATAAAAAATGTATTGTATTTTGACCCAGCAATCTAAAAGACTTCCACATGCAGAGGGTTGTAGAAGGCTTTTTCATTACAGCACTCTTTATAACAGTAAAAACTAAGGGGCAAAAAAAAAACTGTCCAAGGTTTGCCACGTGCTTAAATACATTATAGCGTATCTACACTACGGAATACCATACAACAGTCAAAAATAAAGTCAACCCATATGTACTGATGGATATAGAATGATCTTCAAGATGTCATCAACTATGCTTCATACAGGGCTACTCTGTTCTCTCTGAGCCCCTGACCCCACTCATTCCTTCTCTGCTTTGTCTCAGGGAACTGCCTATAGCCAAGAGACTCAGGAATTTCAAGATCTCTAACGGTATCCTTAATTGGACCACTCAGGGAAGGGGCAGCTGGAAGATATTCCCAGGTCAGCCCTCAGCAACATGGTGGGCAGTCTGTGGTACATTTTTAGTTTGCAAGATCTTTCTTTGCCTGTTCTCTCCCCTCTCCCCAGTCTGGTGCCCCAATATTGTCCTTTTTACCACCCACAAGAAAAACTGAGAAACACACACATACACCAGTTTTCCATGGCTGTGTATCCTGGGCAGTCATTTCTCTTCTCCAGGCTTTAGTGTTTCTCTCTGTTTAATGAAGAGATTAGACCATGTACCTGTAGGGGACCTTCCAGTTCTCACAGACATTGTTTCCTAGCCATTTATACATTTCCCTCCAGAAAGTATTCATTATTAAAAAGGATTTCAAAGACAGGGCAAGGTTTAATACAGGTTAATGAATGGTGGAATTCCAGGCACCAAAACAGATTTATCTGGATTGTCATCCTAGAATAAGAACCACTCTGGCAGAGATCCCCCCCATCAGGACTGACCTCTTCAGTGACGAACGAGACAGCACCTGTGCAGCCTGGTTCATGGCTCTGACCCAAGCGTTCATGTCCTCTAGGGTGTCGGCACTGAAGTAGTACGTCCTCATGCCTGAGTGCTCGGCCTGAGAGCCCACTGTGGAGCTGTTATAGATGAGTGCTCGCATCCCCGTGTGCACTGCCTGTATGCATGGAGACAGGAACCCAGATCAGAGAGATTAGGACATATGACCCTTCTACGAGCAAAAACAAGAAGACATTCTGGCCATGCTTTCCCTGCTTCCAGGCTAAAAGCCAGATATTTCCACACGTGGAAAACGTCACAGGCTGGATTCCCCCTCTCAGTGCAGTCAGGCCCAGTGACAGATGTGTCTGTTTCTGACAGTAAAAGCCCTGCAGCTGAACCTGTTTTCTATTTATCTTTCTCCCATTTAGGGAGGAGCACACAAACAAGGCTTATATGAGAAACAGACTTTTTTTTTAAAAAAAAAACAAACAAACCTCATTTCCTAGAAGTAGACTCTCGGGAATGCCTGTTTTGGTTCTTCTGAAGCACGTGGCTCCTTCTTTGGCTACAATCAGACTGGAATCAAGTCAAAATCAGCTGCAGCAGCAGGTGGCTTGGTGGGGATGTTCACTGTGCTTCGCTGGCTGAGCATGAAATATGATGTGTGCTGTTCTGTCTCTCCAAAAGAGGCACACAAAGTTTGACAGAGCTGTCTAACACTTGACTAAAAATTCCTGAGCACCTACTACAGGCTAGGAAGCCTCAAGGTGCTTTCCACATGTATCCTTGCAAAGAACATGTGAGGAGGTGCTGGGAATACTGACAAGTGACCAGGAAGCTTTTATGAGACAGAGACAACTCCAGCCTTTCCCCCTTGTACCCTGACAAGCGCGGGGCCTATATCTGAAGTTTGCAAGGAGAAATCTCACCAAATCAACGTAGAAGATAGTGTGGAAAGAGGAAGATTTACTGAGTGCCTACTATGTGTCTCCTGGGTACTTCCACGACTATATCAACCAGTTGCTGTCCAGTTGACCCTGACTCATGGAGACCCCATATGTGCCAGAGTCAGAGCAGACCTGTGCTCCATAAGGTCTTCGATAGCTGATTTTTCAGGAGTAGACTGCCAGCCTTTCTTCCCAGGCATCTCTGGCTGAACTCTAACCTCCAACCCTTCACTTAGCAGTCAAGTTCATTAACCATTTGTGCCACTCAGCAACTCCTTCCACAGCTATGTTGCTGCTGTTGGGTGATGACTCATAGCAACCCCACGTGACACAGCAGAGCTGCCCCATAGGGTTTTCTTAGCTATAATCTTTACAGAAGCAGATCGCCAGGTCTTTCTCCCATGGAGCCACTCAGTGGTTTTAAACTGCCAACTTTTTGATTAACAACTGAGTGCTTCACGTTTGTGCCACCAGGGCTCCTTTCCACAACTATAATCTCATTTTAATCCCAACAGCCTTGTGAGATAGGGACAGAATCTGTTTTACAGCTGTGCAAACAAACGTCTGAGATGTTAAGTAACTTTTCAAGATTTCCATAACTGGCAACAGATTCTTCACAGCATTTATCATTACCTGGCATTATTTATTTTACACACTTGATTATTTGTTTGCTTATCATCCGTCTCCTCCCCCTAGAATATACGCTCCATGAGAACAGATACTTTGCCTATTTTGTTCACTGCTGTATCCTCTGGAACAATGGCTGGACACAGTAGGTGTTCAATAAATATTTGCTAAATGAGTGAACAAATGAATGAATGAAGAGTTGGAGCCAGGATTCACATTCAGATCTGTCTGAGTCCAGGGCTCTCTGTACAATGCTCCTAGGTCCTATCCAGAAATCAGCGTTGCTATACAGATCACCAGTCCCATAATCCAGATCCACAGTGAAAGGCAGACCCACACCAGGATCATTCAGAGAAAACAAAATGAAAGAAACAATTAAAAAACTGGAAAATGACATGCTTCTAGAATCACTACTGGTTATGGATGAAAACCTCTCAGATGAACTGTCATCATTTACTTCTCCTCCATACACGCCTAGTCATCCAGATCCAAAATGCATATTAAATGTCAGCCTGCTTCTGACATTCACATATCTGAGTCCATCCAGGGCATGCCAAGGGAGTCCAGGTAAACATGGCATGCAGCCAAAGGTCCCTTACAGAGGCTGAAGCAAACCTGATTGCCTTCCTTGTTGTATAAGGTGTCATCCACTGTCTCAGGAAGGATTTCTCCTATTTCAGCATGGTGGAAATAAGAATATAACCAGAAGGGACTTGTACATGTCTTCCTGGAATAAGCAGACATTCTTGGAAAAGTTCCCCGGGACAATGACCTCATAAGATTTCTGATACCCTCTCCCAGTCTTTCCATTCAGTCACAGAAGGTTCTGGGACAGGTACTCATCCCACCAGATAAAAGGCCATCCAGAAGCATAGGGAGCCCTCAAGGGTATGATCAAGAGAGTAGGTCTCTGCTATACAAACCATGGAACACACTTTAAGCATGCAGACACGTGTTTGCTTATCTGTCCACAAATGGGCCTTGGCAGTTACATCCATCATTATAAAGGAGTTACACATGATAGCAAACATAATTTTATTCACTAATAAAAATGCCAGCATGTGCTGTGCCCAGCTGCTTTTAGCTCTGAAGAACAGGCTCTCTACTACATTATTCCTGCGCTTGGGCATATTAGATCTAGTAACTGTGAGCGCAAGAAGGGTGGTGGGGGTGGGGATCCTTTATCCATTACTGGTGCAATTGTAAAATGGTATTGCCATTGTGGAAAATAGCTTGGTGGTTCCCCAGAAAGTTAAACACAGAATTACCGTATGACCCAGCAATTCCACTCCTAGGTAAATACCCAAAAGAACTGAAAGCAAGGACTCAAACAGAAACCTGTACACCAATACTCTTTGCAACACTATTCACAATAACCAAAATGTAGAAACAACCCAAATGTCCATCAACGGATAAGTGGATAAACAAAACGTGGTATATACATATAATGGAATATTACTCAGCCAAAAAGATAAGTGAAATCCTGATACATATTACCAACATGGATGAACCCTGAAAGCATTATGCTAAGTGAAATAAGTCAGTCACAAAGGGACAACCATTGTATCTCACTTATATGAAATACCTAGAATAGGCAAATGCATAAAGATAGAAAGTAAATTAGTGGTTAGCAAAGGCTGGGAGGGAGGTGGAAAGGGGAAGTCATTGCTTGGGGCGGGGGCACTGAGTTTCTGTTAAGAGTGATTGAAAAAATTGGACATGGATAGTGGTGATGGTTGCACAACATGATGAATGTCACCGAACTGGACATGTAAAAATGTTGAAATGCAAAATATTTTGTTATATATATATATTTTACCACAATTACAAAAGAAAGAAAAGGCAGGGGTGGTGTTCCTCTTCATCTGGCCAAGTGATGCAGGTCTGAAGTGCCCTGAGCCAGAGGAAGATGCCAGAACCAAGGTCTTCTCACCCCTGGTGTAGTCTCATCACAAAGAGATTCCCCTCCCTTCTGCTCTTCCTTTTCCAATGAACACAATCCTCCTACACAAGTTTGCATGACTGAAATGAAACCAGGTTATGCCTAAAGGAAACAAGGATGGAAGCAATGAAGAATCTACCTCAAAAATGTAATGCCCTAGGATGTAAATGTCTCTTAGAATTCATGTCTGGTTTAAGGAGCCTAGAATCTTCACAACTCAACCCCTCAACATCAGCCTTTAGAACAGAGAAACCCAAGTGGGGAAATATAAGTGTGCTCAAAAGGCCTGAGTCTGATCAACTGGTTGGCTGACTCACTCTCTGTTTAACAATAATTTATCATTTACTGAGGGTTTGCTATGTGAAAGGCAGTATACTAGAAGTTGGGGAGACAGCCTTAAACATGGTCAAAATAGTCTACGGCCAAGTAGAAGAAAAAGACCATGGACACATAACTATAATTATAATAAGTATTATCAAGAAGAAGCTCACGATGCTATGAGATAGGATAACGGGAACCTGGTCTGGTTGGAGAAAGACTTACCTGAGGAAATAACATTTAAGCTGTATTCTACATGACAAGAAGTTATTTAAGAAGGAGCAGCAGGGAGGGGACATGCAGTGGGCCCAAAATGGCTTAAAGGAGCACAGCGCATTTCAGGATGAGGCCAGTGTGACTGAGGCAGAGAAGCTGAGGGGAGAGCGACATAAAACGAGGCTACTGAAGTTGGCAGGGTCAGATCCATCGGAGCCTGCTGGTCATGCTAGGGTTCTGTCTGCATTTAAAAGGCAGTAAGAAGCTATTAAATGGTTTTAACTAGGGAGTGACATGACCAGATTTTGTTTGGAAACATCACTCTAGCTGTGGTATGGAGAAGAGTTAGAGCTGGGCTGGAGCAGGTAAGAGGAGATTAGTCAGGAGGCCACTACAGGAGTGCAGGTGAGAGATGGTGGTGGAAGCAGAAGGCAAAGGTTGGACGGAGCCTGGAGACAACAAGCAGGTAATGTCAGCAGGGCTTGGTGATGGACTGGATATGGGAAGTGAGAGAACAGCAAGTGTCAAGGCTAAGACTCTCAGGTTTACGGTTTGCAAAGGCAGCAGTGCCCATTTTTGAGAAAAAAGAAAAGACTCTCCACCTCTAATCTTTTGGCTGATACAAGCAACATAGTGAACTGGGTAAGAACTTGAAGTCAGCTGAGGTCCAAGGTGGGCTCTGCCTCTTATTTACCAGGTCAAAAACCAAACCTGTTGCCATCAAGTCGATTCTGATTCATAGTGATGCCATAGGACAGGATACAACTGCCCCATAGAGTTTCCAAGGAGTGGCTGGTAGATTCAAACTGCCAACCTTTTGGTAACCCTGGGCAAATTGTTCAGTCTCCCCATGTCTCTATTTTCTCAACTTTAAAATGGGACTGTGGGTAACAATAAGGTCAACAGTTCGAATCCACCAGCTGCTGGATACTCTACGGGGCAGTTCTATCCTGTCCTACAGGGTCGCTATGAGTCAGAATCAACTAGATGGCAATAGGTTTGGTTGTTTTTTCTTTTTTTTTTTTGGTTTGGTGGGTAACAATACTATTTACCTTGCAAGATCATGTGAAGATTAAATGAGAATGCATATACAGTGTTAGAGCACAGCCTGGCGTTTGTAGGGCTCAAAAGATATTAGTTGATGTTATTACAGGTGCTGTAACTTGAGCGACCTAAGGAGGCTGACTGGATGAGCTCTATGGGAACTTAAAAGGACCACTCCCCCCACCCCACCCAGTTCTCATTTATAGAGGAGCATACGTGAAATACAAGTAAACCTGAATCCACCATAACTTTGGAAGTGTTAGCAGCATTTTGATATAAAAGCACTGTAACTGACTGCAAGCGACTCCTATACAAATGACTGCCCTGTGTGATTTCTGTCTGTAGAATGGGACTAGCCCCATTTACCCAGGCAGAATTAGTGAGCCAGCTTTCCTGGTGAAAGCCCTCCAGATGGGTAGATCAACCACTTACAGTGCAGAGAGACAGGTCTTGTGGATATACACAAGAAGGTAACTAACTTGTGTGTGTGTTTGGGGGCGGGGGGAGGTGACAGGGAAGGCTTCTTTAAGGAGGTGATTCCAGAGCAGAGCCTTGAAGGAAAAGCAAGAGTTGGGGAAAGGGCACTCCAGGCTGTCGCTGAAGCTGGAGCAAGGCCTATCAGTAAGAAATGTCCTGGGGCCTTATGGCTGGAATGAAGGTATGAGAGGGGAGTGCCTAGAAACAGGGCTGAAGAGATAAACTGGGGCCTTGTAAACTAAGATTGGGCTTTATCCTGAAGGCAAAAGGGAGCACAATATGAACAGATCTGCAGCTGAGAAACAGTATGGAAGATGAATTAGAGGCTGCAGAGTAAGTCAGGAGGCTGTAGCAGAGTGTGTCTTATGTGCTTATGTCTTATGTGCTCGGCACTGTTCTAGCACTAAGTTACCCAGAAGAGGGATGATGGTGGCAGAGACAGAATAGTGGCAGCAGCAATGGAGAGGAGATGGATTGAGAGATACACAAGGAGCAAAACTGAAAGGGCTCGAGGCGACTCACAATGTGGGGGAGAGGAAAATGTTACTCCTTCCTGATCTCTTCTCATCCTAATAACTCACAAGCTGATGCAAACTTCAGCATATACGCCCCACCAAGGCAAGGTCTTTGTCCTTTTCACTGCTATATCCTCAGCATCTACAATACTGACAAGTGGAAAAACAGAATTCAATTAATGTTTGTTGAATATAAATAAATGAGTGGTCTTCAGCCAGACTCTAAAGCAGTCTTGCCCTTTTTTGTGGCAGGATCTCTCTGACAGCCTGGTGAAGTCTAGGAATCCTTCTCAGAATGTTTTTAAGTATGCAAACAAAATACAGAAAACACATTATATTGAAATATAGTTATCAAAATATATTTTTTTAAATTGTGATTTAGTAATATAGGTGCTCCTTTAATAATGTATTCTATAACAAATCTAGTGGCAGATGTAATAATTACCATAATTTCAAAGTGGTGATGAGCCTAAATGGTATTTCAAGATATTTGCAACAACTGAGGACCATCAACTGTAATGTGATATGAAAATATGTATGGTTTTTATTGGTGACCAAGTCACAGGTACTGCTGATACCTGTTGCTGCCTGCTTTCTTAATGGAAGGAAATGTTATACTTCAGTTAGAGGTTAAAGACATAAAGATATGATTTATCCACAGACTCTTGCACATTTGTAGACCTCAGGTTAGGAACTCTTGGTCTAAAGAGAGGGAAAGTGGCTCAAGGGGTAGCAGTAAAAGCCTTTCCCCCACTGAAGATCTGTAGACCATTGGCTGTGTGGGGATGTTTTCTGCTGAGAATCCTGGATCCCCAGGAGTAAGGTGGGGCCGAGGCTTGCTCAGAGGTGACCAATGGCCAAGGGAGGCTGTGCATCTGGTATGGATTCTGTGGGGAGGCCTCCCAGGTGAGCCAGCTGAGCATGAAAGGCCTCCTGGTCAGGGCAGGCCGGATGGCTTCTAGAGGCCACCAAGAGCCTTGCTTGGCTCATCCTGAAGACCTGGGTGTGCCTCAGGGCCCACCTAGCACCTGGTTTCCTGGCAATGCCTTGGGGTTGTCAGGCTGTGGGCACAGTTGGAAAAGAGTGACAAGAGAGGACTATATTAACCTTTCTGGCTGTGCCTACCTACCACTATGGATCTTACTCTCAATTTCAGGCAAGGTGCCCCAGGAGCAGAGAGAATCTCAGCTCTGGTTACGAAGAGGATCTGACTTCAGAGACAGGTACAAGGCTCAGGACACAAAACGCTGCATATTTCTCAGTATGCCCGAGAACATGGATCTTGAACTGCCCCCCACCCTCTGCCTCCTAAAAGAATGATACTGCAATCGGAAGAGAAAGGTAACTCTCCCTCACTCTGGAAACTAGGGTCCTTTCAGGAGGACCAGCTAAACACCACCAGATCTGAAACCAGTTGCTTTTCTCTGCTGTCAGACCCTGAGGGTCCCAAAGACCCCCACACAGATGCATGCCTTCTGTCTCCCAGACCAAATATTTAGGCAACACTTGGGTGAATTTTTTCTAAGAAAAACATCTAAGACATGTATAAAAGATGTTTTCCTAGAATCTGTTTTCACACTTCTCAATGAAGTGTTAAGATGAAATATATATCGCTGATAAGTTACTTTGAAGATATTTCAAATGCTGTCCCCCAAAAATCACATACAACATCATTACCCCAATGCTCTACCCTAGAAAAGAGGGTTTCCTGACGAAGGCTTTCAGGCTGCAAAAGACCAGTCCGAAACCCACTGAAAAAAGATGTTTTCAGTGCCAGCAATAGCAGAGGAGGCTCCTGAGCTATTAAATAGAAGAGAATTCTTCAAATGACAATAATAAGGATTAATTCACATCACCTCCTACCTCTTGCAGTATGTGCGCAGGAGGTGACCAAAATAAGACGTGGAAGATAAAGCAGAGAGAAAAGAGAAAAAAATTGTCACCGCTCCCTGTAATGCAACTTGAAAGAGGGCAAAATTCTGGGTCAAGTTTTGTCACATCTTCCAGCTTTGTGACCTTGGGCAAATTTCTCAAGCTCTCTGATCCTTGGATTCCTAATCTATACAATGAAGCTAATGATGCTGACTTCACAGGCTCCCCACAAGGATTAAATGAGGTAACATGTATAAAAGTACTTCCCAAGTCATAAATGGTTTTACAGATGTAAGGCAATACTATACTATGTAACATAAAGTGGGGGAGGATCCCAGAATCTCCAACCCACAACAATTCTGCAGGCACTGGAGATAGTGATGCTTGAGGGAAAGAGAGAGAATGACTCAGACCTGTCAATGAACAAACTGAAGCATCAGTTCAATTCTGAGCTCCCTTAACAAGAAGAGGTAGAAGGAAGATATGAGCTTGAATTTCCAACCATCACCACCACCACCACCATGGACTCCAGATCATGACGCTGATGCAGACAATCACTTTCCAAAGGCCTTTCACAGACTGAGGACAAACAGCTAATGCCATGGATGCTACCAAAGGACACTCTCCTCTAACCAGTGCAGAGAAAGGTAGTTTCTTATCCCATGCATTTCATGGTCCTTTAACTATCTATGGCTGGAAAACTTTGATTTCTGTTTAATCTGTGCTTTAGTACCTACTGTCTAGTACTCATCTTGTACCTCCAACATAGGAACAGCCAAAATCAACATGAGAAGTGGGGGCAGGAGTCCCCTTCCCCAGCCTGAAACGAATGTCATTGCCTTGTTTCCTGAGCAGCATGAGAGGGTGTTTCCCTGTGGCTACTGTCATCAAGGACCACTCGCTTCAGTGCTCTCTGGGATTTCCACTCTGCCAGGAAAGTGGATCTTCAATCCATCCCACCCTCACCACACCTGGAGGACCCAAAAGCACCAGCAGTGAAGCAATCTGTGGAGGTCATCAATGGAGAAGGCCTCGGGACTCACCAAGTTTGGTCCTAACCATCACCTTCCTGGAGCCTCCATGCATGGCCTCCCAGGTGTCAGAGGGCATCACAGGACTGCCATCAATTATGTCCCCAAACCAAAAACCCACTGCCGTCAAGTCGATTCCAACTCATAGCAACCCCATAGGGTTTCCAAGGCTGTAAATCTCTACGGAAGCAGACTGCCACGTCTTTCTCCCACGGAGCTGCTGGTGGTTTCGAACCACCAACCTTTCAGTTAGCAGTCGATCGCTTTACCACTGCATCACCAGGGCTCACTCACCCCAAACAGCACAGTAACCCAATAAAAAAGAGATTTCATTGGTGAAGGGATTTTCCTGGGAATCATAAATGATCTAAAAAATAAATCAAATTTGACTCTAATTGCTTTTCAACAAGATAAACAGACTGGACAAACCTGACAGTCTTCTCAGCGTGAAGCCCCTAACCATCAATGTACATACTCCTAACATAATTGATATAATCCAATTATAATAGAACATCATTTGCCCTGAATGACCGGATACTAGTGAGACTGGTTGATCAAGGTGATAAGAAAGCACGAGAAGGGTTGTGTTAGATATGTAATCACAAGACTACTAGCAATAGGAAACCAAAAAAACTAAACCTGTTGCTGTCCAGTCGATTATGACTCACAGAAACCCCGTAGGACACAGCAGAACTGCCCCATAGGGTTTCCAAGGCTGTACTCATTATGGAAGCAAACTACCACATCTTTCTCTTACAGAGCGGCTGGTGCATTCAAACTTTTCAGTTAGCAGTCAATCACTTAACCACTGCACCACCAGGGCTCCTTGCAAAGAGGGATGTAAACACTTGAGCAAGGCTGGAGGATTCAAAACCTCAGATGCAAACAAAAGTACTTGTGATGAGATATTATTATTGTTTAAATAATTTATAACTTTGTTCATATGAGTCTGAAACACTCTAGCGTCTTACCTTTTTCCCCACCCCACGAAAAACAACTGCTTTTATAAAGCCATTTTTGAAAACACAGAGTTTCTTAGGATGGACTTGCTGCTCTAGAGGTGAAGGGGCAGTACCTTAAAGGAATACTTGCGACTTATGCGATCCTCAGGGGCCACAGGCGAGACCACATAGCTGGGCAGAGGGATGCTCCCAAGGACCACTTCTTCTCGGCTGTCTTTGAATGGAAAAACACGTCAGAACAACCTTCTGTGGCACCTTCCCTGGGCTGGTCCATCCCGCTGCCCTAGTTCAGGGCTCCTTATCTCTTCCCAGGACTAGTGCAATCACCTCTTAACTGATTGCTCACTCAGATGTTCCCTGGGGACCTTTTTGCTAATGCTGGAACTACAAAGGTGAATCAGACACATCAGGCGTGTAAACACACACAACTGCACCTGCTAAGTCCTGAAATAGAGCCGTGTACCAAGTGCTGCGAGGACACAGAGGCAGGAGTGGTACACAGTCTGGGGAAGCTGCGAAAGCTTCAAGGGTGATGTTTAAGCTGTGTTTTAAAGGATAGGGAAAGGCATTCCAGGTGGAGCAAACCTCATAGGCAAAGTTACAGCATGAGTGAAAAATTCTAGATTCTGCTTCTATTCCCTCCTTCCTATGAACCACTTTTATTACCAGAGGTAATTTCCTAAGGACAGAGTTGGTCCCGTTGCTCTCCTACTCAAAGGCACTTGCTGATTCCTCACTGGATCCAGAAGGAGACTCAACTTCCACTGCCTGGCTGTATTTTGGCCCTTATCCACCTCCTGAGCCTTATATCCCAGTACGTCCTTCATGCAAGACTCACTATGGCCACTATGGAATGACCTCCTCCTGCTTCTAGAACTTTCCTCAAGCTGTTTCCTCTGCTGATAATGCCCATCTTGCCCTGACACAGGCCAAAGCTCTACCCATCCTTAAAAGCCCAACTCAGATCCATCCTACCTCCTCCAAGAAGCCTCCTCAGATTCTCTAATATGGAATTGACTTCTCACTCCCCTGAACTGCCTAAGCACTTTAGATGTCTTTTAAAGCACCTACCACAGCCTAGCTTTGTCTTAAAAGTAAGCTATCTCTTCCTTCATATTTTGAGCCTTACTTCCTTCTCACCATTGCGCAGCCCCTAAATTTTATGTAGGGGCTCCATAAATGCTCGTATGGCCAATTTAATTCAGCAGTTTCCCATCCGATATCATAGAGGATAAATCCAGATAATGGGTTACAAAATATAATGATTTACTCATACTTCCCACCTCTTCAACCAAAAGAGCCCCAAAAGTGTGCCCATGTCCCAAATGGAACAGTAGCTAGAATGAGTCTGGATCTTGAGATCTTAAGTAGGAGGCAACCAGATTCTACTTATTTTAACCCAACAGATGGACCTTCCTATCCAGAAATGGTAAAAGTGAAGTCACCAACTATCCACATGATATGTAAAAGTGAACACTTTAGCAGGATAATAGATTACCAATTAGCTCGGGTCACTGATACACTCACTGGCTTTGAGAAGACCATCATCTAAATCACCTTACCACCCCCTCCAGCACAAAAAGTCTTTAATGGCTCGAGCCTTGGCTCACCTTTATAATAAAACAAGCAGTAATCAGCAAGCACAAACCACCTCCTCTTCCACAGCCTCATCCCAGAGCTGTCCTGCAAAGCAAAGAAAACTAATCAGGGCAACATCTGGGCATACTGCCACTTCCCCCCTCACATACAACCTGATTCTAGAACCACGTCTTGCCCATATTCATTCTTTCTTACAATAAATCAATGAATATTTTATTGAATAGCTGTTTCTTGAATGGGATATTAAAATCTAGATTCAATGAAGATTTATCCCCAGGGAGCAGTGGTTTTTTGGGTTTCTTTTTTCTTCCTTATCTCCTGGAAACATATTAATATATTATATAAGCCCCCCTCTTTTAAAGGAAAAATGTGAATTCAGAAATATAGATCTCTCATTAAGAAAGGATTCACCTTTTAACAAAATGGAATTTTTTTTTTAGGTGCTATGCTATAAAATATCTCCACTTATGCTGATTAGAAAATTGAATTTACATGGTATTGAACAAAGTGTCTAAGTTAGCTAATTAACTGAGGTAAAGTTCTCATTTGACTAAGCTCAGTTCTCTATCACAGGGGACTGATTTTGCCGTGGTATCTTCCTTCCATTCAGTGTGAAGAGATTTGGATTCTCCTGCTACCAAACTGCCTCATAACAAGAATCTATCTTTACTTACCTGAAGTGTAAATCTTTACATTTACGAGACATATTTTTAGAACAATGGGAAAAGTAAAAACAAAACAACAAAAAAACATCGCCAGGGTAGGAAAACAGCAATGTTTTAGGGTCAGTTTTCTCCCAAAGCTAGGAGAACCTCAGAGCAGCTTTCAGCTTTACAGGTGGCTGTTAAAGTGTACTGTCTTCCTTTCTGCAGAAGTTTATGACAGGTTTAAATTTAAAACAAAAACAAAAGTCACCTGACAGCTTCTAAACCTAAACACAACGTGAGGTTTATTCATGCTTTGCTTACAAATTGCTGAAAACTAATTTAACTTAGTGAACTCGTGCATTTATCGGTTTTACCTTCTGCCAAGTGACCAGATAATCTCTACGGTCTTGCTACATATTTGCTTTGCTTGGAAAATTCTTACCCATCCTTCCATAGTTGGTTCACATGTCACTTTCTCTGCAAAGCCATTCTGGACGCCCCCAAGCACAGCTAAATTCTCTCTGCTGTGTGTCCCTAGCACTCTACACAGACTTCTGTTACAGTTACAGCACACCCCCTTGGTCAAGAGGGTGGGAATTGGGAACAAAAATTAATAAACCTTTACAATCCTTCCCCTCTCCCTCCCACATTTCAAAGGAGCATCCTTTGCTTATCTGAGGGGTAGGGATGCAAATACAAGAAGTCAGAGGGTTAAACTGCTCAGTGTAAGAAAAGAGATGGGCAGCCTCCAGAGGGAACAGAGCTGTGAGGGAAGAGGGCATAAGCAAGGGAGGGTGATACCAAAGGAGTATCTGGCAGAAGAGGCTGGAGAGCTGTGGGAGTTGCCATGGGGAGAAGAAGTGGAGGAGAAAGATTTCAAAGGGACTTTTAGGAATTCTTCTGTGTGATATGCAATGCAATGCCCTCCTCTATCTTTCCACAAAGACTTTAGTAAAATTTACATCATTTGTCATTGCTCTTGGAGTTTGACTTTTGTTTTTTAATGGATGAGATGATATGATATGACATGATATGAGGGAGACCGGGCTGGGTGATAGGAGATGTGAGAAGTGTTTCTATCTGTTTCCCTTAGACGATGAGTTCCTTGAGAACAGGAATCACATTTTATTCATCTCTTTATACCTGTAGTCCAAACACTGGGAACATGGCAGGTACCTGATGAAAATTTGAGTGAGTGAGTGAACAGCAAGGAGGGAAAGAAGGAGATGAAAGAGACATGGTCTCTGGTGCTGGGAGCTCATAGCCTAGCCATCACCAGAGGACCAGAGACAGATCAATTGGTGGTGAGGACAGAAATGAATAACGGCATCAGGGAGACAGAGCTGACAGGACTTACTGACCGAATGGGTGTGGGAGATAAAGGAGCTGCTAACAGTGCTGAGGTTTTTAAACTGAGTGGGAGAACAGTGGTACCATTAACAAAGATCCGGAAAAAGCAGGTTAGGGGAAAGAGAGAGGTAAGGAGTAGGGAGACAATAAGCTGAGTTTGACTGATTTGGAATCTGACATACTAGGGCGTTAGATATGAGTGGTAGGCTAGGGAGAGAGGAAAGGATGTGATTTTTCAGCTAAATGATAACAAAGGCTCTTAACATCAGCAAGACAAGTGCTGGCAGAGTATTGGCGGGAAGACTGGACACATGCTGACCCACCACACTATGGCCTGGGTCCCAGGTGGTCAAGTGGGTTTTGGGAGGGAAGCTGCCGCCATTGAGCAGACAGTCCACTCATAAAAATGAAAAGAAAATTGCTCAGCACAGTGAGCACAATCCACCTGCCTCAGAGAAACTAGGAACAAAGCTATATGACAGTTCCCAGGCCCCTAGGCCAGGGTAAGGAAATAAATCAGCAACAGCAATCTCCCCCACCACCCTCACTCCTCAATCTTCTCACCTGTTTGTGCAGCCAGCCCCTTACAACCGCTGGAACATTGAGGTTCCTCCGAATGGCCTGGTCCCTCTTCCCAAAGCTGTGGACTTTATTGCTGGACTTTACAATCTAGGAAAAAGCAGACCTGAACTCTAGAGATTTTGTGAAGCACAAACAAGAGTACTTCTATGTTACAACAGCTGTGGAGTCTCTCTACCCTACTCTAAGAAGCAACACCCTTTGATATGAAGAACAGTAACAAGGCAGGGAGCAGGTATACACATGGTCACAAAATTCTAATTAACAAGTGAGATCAAGATCTAGTAAGCTCCCGTCCAGGTCATAAGAGGAAAAAAATTTAAAGGGGTTTTTCAATCAACTTTCACCAGTAGCTGTTGGCTCTAATATTTCCTGCGTAGTTCTGGAGCCAAATCTACTTATGATCACAAATTTCCCCAATTTCCAGACATTCCTTCTAAGAAGTTAACCCCCATCCCCCACCCCCAACCTAGTTTCAGTCCTTCTATCTTAGCACTCTCCCCTTTTCCACAATGTGGTTCTTTTCTCTTTCCCTGGGTCAGTGCTCCCACGCCCTGGACACAGAAACCTCTAAGCTCTTCTCAAGGGCGCCATTCCTCGGGCCCCTCTGTCTCCAGATCTCACCAGGCTGTCTCTAAAATACATCCACACTGAACAAAGATGTGGCCCTCCCAGCAGATGCCAGGAAAATGAAGAATGTGTCAAAGGATCTACCTGTTAGTCTTGGATCTGCCAACAATCACCTGTTCTCTTGGACAAATGGCATGACTACTCTCAGCCTCAATTTACTGATCTGTCACTTGGGGAGAACACTGCTTATGTGTCCCCCTCACTTAACTATTGTGATGATCAAATGAGTTTCTGGTCGTAAAAGGGCTTTGGAAAAATACAAAAGCAGGGAAGGAAAGAACGAGTGGCCAGGAGCTCACCTTGGGTCCAGGCCTGGTCTCTAAGGTGGAAGTGGTTCCAGCTGTGGATGTTTCACTGACCATGCTGGACGGTCTTTGGTTTCTCTCTTGCTTTGACATATGTAGATTTGGCCTGTGGGGAGACATAAGAAAATCCAGGAAGTAAGTGCCAAGCTTCAGAGAGGAAAGTGGAGTCTGAGATTTATTCCAGTTTAGAACTGGTTGCTGCGTCCTAAGGAAACCCAGGTCTGATCTTGAGAAGACTGACTGCCTGACTCCAGACTGACTCCAGAAGGCCTGCCCACCAAGGAATCAAGAGGATCACAGATGGGCATGTCTCCACAGCCAGATGCCCCACAAAGGGGCCAAGATAGTAATCTCTTTCTGTTGTCCTCAGGTCCCCACACTCCTCTCAACTCCAGTGTCTGTGGTGACTGCCCAGTCGAATGGGCACACACACTCACACTGCCTTTCACAGCAACAGCAATCAACACCACTCATACACACACACACACACACACACTCCTCCATCTCCCTGGCTCCCAAAAGAAGCTGTTTATAATTAGTTACAAGAGATCACTTGCGCACACCCCCATAATACACACTGAGAACTGCTTACATAAACGCTAGTGGGGCTTGCCTCCCGAAATAGACTAGGCAACAAAGAGTCTTATTCTGGGAACACTCCATTTGCCCCAAAATAAAGCCATCAGAGATATTAAATATTAACCCCTTGTGCCACGCCTGGAGAGTGGGCAGTCATGAGGCGTGCCCTGGGCCCCAGGGAGGATCCCCTCTGCTTCCCCATCAGCATCCCAGAGACATGGTGCTTCCACTGAGAAGCTGACCCCAGAGGGCCAGCACTCTGGGGACATCTCGGTACAGTGCTCAAGAGACACACAGTAGACGAGCCCTCTCACCTGCCTCCACAAAGCCCCAGCATTTGTACCGGAGTCTTTCAAAGCAGCAGCAGCAAATGCCTCCACACAAATCCAATACCTATCCTTGAAAGCTCGATGCCTGATTCCTAGACCCTGCCAACTCCAAGGTCAGGAAGCCTTCCTCAAAGCAGAAGTCCCAGAGTTCTCTGGCTGAGTTTTTGTCCACTACTCTGACAGGCAACAGGATCCAGGCAGCTGGAGATTGGACAAACTGCAGCAAACCGAGGTTCTCTGCTTGAAGACTGGAGAGTATCTGATTCTGAGGCCTGAGCAAGGATCTTCAGGAGCTGCAGATGGAGGATCCAGGCGGGACACAGCTCAGGAAAAAGCACCCTGGTGTCCTCTGACCACGTTCCCTTTTAGAGAGGTGCTATGGGTGGAATCATAGTTTCCACCTTGGAGATATGCTGCTTCCTTCAAAAACCACTGCTGCTTAGAGGACAAGTGATCCTTTCTGGACCCCGAGACAGAGCCCCCGACACCCTGCACCCTAGAGAAGCTCTTTGCAGAAGCAGCCAGGACCACCGTGCTCGCTGAGCTGTGCCAGCAACAGGCACCAGCTCTCCAGGGGGCCGGCACTGCTGGGTGCTTGGCGGCTGAAGGTGCGAGCCCCACCAGGCAGAAAGATCAGTGGCTCCTTATCAGCACAGGCACTCACCCCAGATTCCCCGCCCCCGGCCTCCATCCCAGCCAGACTTTTGTTACTGCTCCCCACTCGGAGAATGTCACCAAGCTCTGCCCGCTCACTGTTGGCAGAGGCTGTGTGCAGTGGATAGATAATCGCCATCTGGGGGTGGGAAGGGGATCTGAGCGGCTGCATTGTCCACCCCCTGCCTCCAGGCAAAACTATGCCCAAAACATCTTCCTGGAACCTGACCTTGCCTGACTTTCAAGATTTCTAGAGGTTGAGACAAGGAAGAAGAATTCTCAGGTTGCCTGTTAGATAGAATTCAAGACATGATGTCCAACAATAAAAAGAGCTTGTTTGGAAGTTTAATCCTCTCCCATTTAAGACACTAACAGACACTCATTATAGAATATTTGAGAAATACAAGAAAAATGCTGAAAGGACAGAAAAAACTACCCATAGTCTTGCTATCCAAAGGAAAACCATGTTTAACCATTTGTATATTTATTTCCATTCTTTTTAATACGCCTGGCCTTTTTCTGGTAGGGGCAGGAGGGGACAAGGAGTGCTTTCTTGTTTTTACATAATTGTGATCATATCATACTGTGTTTACAATTTTGCATCTTGATTTTTTAAGAAAATTATTGTAGTGTATTTCCCCCATTATTCTAAATTCATCCATATCGTTTTAAATGACATCATATTCGATCAACTAGACATGCCATTCCCCTACCCCTCCTGTCCTGTAGGACACTGGCCCAGAAATTCCAAGACAGATGGCCATTTTTGCCATTTCTGCAGCTTACAATCTTAAGCTCTAACTTTAATCATCCCTACTGCATTCTAACGCCATTTCTCCTCCCCACATCAGCTTCTGGGATTCTGTCTGGCAAGAGAGCTCCTCCCAGTCAATAGTGTAGGAAGATGACTGCCCTGCAGGCCTGGATGGTTGAGGAAGGAGAGTATCATCACTACCTAGGGAGCCAGCTGTGAACAGATTTCAGTTGGAAAAGGACTGGTTGTGGCCCCAACACTAGACATGAGTGAGGGCCAGTGTGGGTGGGGGGTAAGAGGAGGAGGAGGAAACACATGCAGACAACTCCACCCCTCTTGTACTGCAGAGACCTCACTCACCACAGCAGAGAAAGCTGGCTTTTAAGGAGATGTGACTGAAGTCCAAAACTAAATCTGCCCCAGGGAAGGGACTGTGTTGTGGCTACAAACAAGGAACGGTCTTCACCATCAGACCAGGAGCTCCCCATGGACAGGGACAACTCCCAACTCAAGCAACAGACTCAACCATTACCTGGCAGTCCCTAACCTGACTCTCAGAAAGAACAAGGCACACATGGCTACCCACAGGGCTACGTAACAGCACCTGCCTTCAGAGGACGCTCCTTTGAATCTCCCCAATGTGACTAAAGCTCTCTTAGTTCCTTCCAACGGTGAGTGTCACTTTTGGACATAACTAAAAGTTATTCAGCATTACAACTAATTAAAAAAAAAAAAAAAAGTGGGTGGTCATGCTTGGGAACACCATTTAGTATCCAAAAATGGGGATATGAAAAGAGTCTCAAAAACAATTTACTCAGCTGGCTGAAAAACTGGCTCTGATGGAAATTCCTAGAGGTGTTTACCTCAACATTTTGAGTAATGGGAATATCAGTGGAGCGTGTGTGTAGCCTCCTGAAGCAACAACACTGAAAGAGACATCATTCACCAGGATGTGTGCTTTCTGGTACATTTGCTTCAACCAGTTACATCGTACTGGCATATTCTCCACTTAGGAGCCTGGTGCAGCAGACACTGATTTGTCCTCAGCTCTTCAGACTGAGTGCATTCTCCTGACAGACTTCACCCAAGAGCAGTCCCCCTCCCCAGAGAAAAGCCTGTGCCCCAGAGCTGAGCAACTGTGAAAGATGATTCAGTTCCCAACAGCATGCCCTCAGCCACACGAGTCACACAGATCCCTGGAGAGAAGACCAAAAAACGCACACACTCTATGGAGAGGCCAACTCCTGGTGTCCTTAAATAAAATCTATTAACTTAAAAGCCTGTTTGCCAGGTTTCTGTTATCTGGATTCCCAAAGTACAGTGAGATGATTTGAACAAAGACCTCTCTTTCCCCGACTTGGGCTACATGAATGCTGATTATTTTGCTGGAGGGGTGTGGGCTGAAGTTCAAAACAGTGAGCTACAGCAGTTAACTCAACTGCCTCCCAACTGAAAAGAACAAAAGAAGTTAGGACTAGACAAAAATCAGTCTGGAGAAACCCAGTAGGAAAGTGACTCAATGGCTCAAGTAGAGCTTGACTCTATTCTGAACTTTGTTAAGTATGTGTTAGATGAGCCTGAGCAGGGAGTCACTTTCTCTGTCCGTCAACTTCCCCATCTAGTAAAGAAACTGCATCTGCTTCCTGCCAATCCAGGATCAAATGTGTATAACACTGACCGATGTAGTAAGAAAGGGAGGTTGTAATTTCAGCAGTCACATTTTCTGTTGGTTATGACTTTAGGTGAGGTTTTGCTTAATGGGATCCTGAGCTACCTCTCAATCACCAGTGTGAACTGGAGCAGACTGAAGTGGGATCACAGGAAGAGCTTTCCCTGCCCAATCGCTGTCGCAATAGGTAGGTCACTAAATCAAGCATCACCAACCCTTAGGCACAAGTACCCCTCACTGATCATCACAAGCTCAGGCAAGCAGAGACTGGGGCTGTAATTAACAAGTGCCTGTGTGCCAAACACTTTACCTGTATGATCTCACTTAACCCTGCAAAGCTGGTTTTACCATCTCCATTTTATAGATGAGAAAACTAAGGATCAGACAGATCAATAATTTGCCCCAGGCAGGAGCAGGACTCCAAAATCTGGGTTTTGCCGCAGAGAAACCATCCCACGAGAAATCCCAAGGTCTGGCAGAAGCAGAATTTTGCTCTTCTCAGCCCCAGGACCAACCCCCAACCAAGAGGATCCTAAGGTGATTAAAAAAAAAAAAAAAAAGCAAAAGCCCAGAATAAATGGGTCTAAGCTCTATAATTTACTCATCTAAAAGTCAGTTTTCTTTTTTGCAAAATGGGGTTAAAACCACCTTCTCATCTCACAAGGTGGACTAAAATGAGTACTTTGAAAACCTTGAAACATGGCACTAAATTAAAAGCATTATTTGATACTATTACCAATGGAGACTTGGGAATTTAAATCCCAATTATATTTTATCTTTATTTCAAGACACTTCTCTCCAGAAAGCTCAAGGTGTCAAACAATTAACTTCTAAACAACAATCATTTCCTATAAACATTCCCATTAAGGCCTGATCTGGGGCTTCTTTAAAGTGTAAGTAGCCCTGTGGCTGGGGGATCCAGCTCCAATTCTTTCTCCAGGAGAGCAATGATTTTAACAGTCAACAAGGATATGAAGGGGAGGTTAGAAAGTTATGCGGAAACAAGAGTCTCTTACTGAGAGGACACCATTAAAGGACACCCATGTCCCATCAATTCTTGTAAAAGTAGGCTTCCAAGTTCATGCTCTGTCTGCAAGGATTCTACACTGAGAGCTCAGCTG